TCTTTGGACTGATTTTCCTTTTCCCCTTTGTGAGCACAAAACCCAGATATTCAACACTTGCTTTACACCATTGCAATTTTTTCTTTGCCACCTTGTGTCCACTCTCAAAAAGACATTTCAACAAACTCTCCCCATCCCTCAGGCCGGCCCCCTTAGTGGGACTGCAGAGGCAGATGTCATCCACGTACTGCAGCAGGACTGACCCATGGGCTGGTGTCCACCCCCGCCGAGTAGCCTGGAGAACAATTGCGTAGACTACCGGAGAATTTACAAAACCCTGGGGCATTTTACACCAGGTTATCTGTCGGTTCCAAAAACAGACACCAAAAATGGGCTGTGTCTCTGCGTCAACAGGGACTCTAAAAAATGCATTTGCTAAGTCTATTACTGAAAACCATTCAGCATCAGACGGTATGGCTGTAAGAAGAGATGGCACATCAGGTACCACCGGGTGGTACCAACCAGTGAGTCAATCAGTCTAATGTCTTCCTGTGTGAAATTCCTGTCTTTACATGCCTTCTTTAAATATGCCAATGATCCCCCGGTGTAGTAGTGGGCTTGGGACAGTGTTTAGTGATACGGTCAATATCCTCTATTTCCAAACACTTGATTATTAGCGTGTCTCCTACAGTGAGGAATGGATATTGCTTGGTCTGTGTCGCCACCTTGTGTCTGGTTCTACCTGCCGGTTCGGGACTAGGGCCTTTTATCATATCTATATGAAAGGTGTCATTATCTGCTGTTCTCGGGAACAGACTTGAACTGCCCATTGTTTCAGTCCATCCCGCTAAATTGTCCACCCATGGATTTATAAAATAATAATTAGTCCCACAAATCCGTGCTACGAAATCTTTGCATGTCTCTCCTGGTTCGGGACAAGGTGTGTTTTTACTCTTAACTTGTCCCATTCTGTCTGTTTAAGGAATTCCAGTAAGAAAAGGAGAGAAAAGAGAGAGAGAATGATTCACAGTGCTCGACTGCCACCTGAAGTTTCAATTCAGATGCATCTTCCCAAAACGTGAATCTAGTCACTTGTGTACCTTCTCGGGTCGAGTGATCTGTGACCAATTATCACTCTTATCACAAAGATTATAGAGAGACAGAGAAAGAATATACAACTTTTCCTACTCTATACCCTGAAAAGGACACTCTATATAATAATATCCTTTGTGTCTAACCTGTCTTTTAACTTCTTCCACTGTAAATCCTGAAATTCCACCGGACAATGTAAATTTACCCTTTCTACCTGTATGTTAGAAGTGACTTGATAAAAAAAGGGGTCGTTTTCCTAACTTATGTTTATATGCCTTTTCTACCTTACTGACAAAGTAACCTCCAGGAATACAATGACTAAAAAATAGTCTGCATACACATTCAGGACAAATCATTTGCAAAACTTTTAATCCGTAACTACCGGTCCATACACTTACCACCTGGACATCGGTGTAACACAACAAATTATATTATCCTTTACGCGACAGAAAGATAAGCAACAGAATTTTGGCAGCCCAAACCCACCAGTGTCAATATTTTCTTATTTCCTGGACAACCAATGTCCTTGGACATCCAATGTCCTTAAAGTACTTCCCAAAAGTACATATACATTATTTTCTGGACATCCAATGTCCTTAAAGTACTTCCCAAAAGTACTTATGCTGGCCGGTAATCTTTTACACTATACTCTTTCATTAAAACATACTTCCAAAGTATGTGGGCATCGGAACTCAGCCAGAGCCTAGTCACGGTAAATATCAGAAAATATAGATCAAATACTCACCGGATAGGATGACTCTCCGATCCCGGGACGAGCCCCAAAACTGAAAGGGATTTGTGTCTCTAATAATCACTGGTAAGTTTCGGCCCCCCCATTGGGCCCAAGAGACTGCTCTCTGGAAGAAAGAAATCCACACATGCACACCAGCTTCCAAAGAACAGTCTAATCTTTATCATAATATTCCTCCTCATAGAATGGAATTTCACTGGATAATTGTCAAGGCTGTGTACATGAACAATTTAGGTTTCTCAGACCTTGAATCAGTTACAAGAAACCAACAGTTATTTTCCCATGGAGCAGAAGTGGTTAACTTTTAACTGTATCATAGTAGAAACAAATGCTGTTAGTACTTAGAAATAACTGGATACTTTCCCTGCCTCTACCAAGGCTAAGCTAAGATAAAAAACAAAAGAATGTGTGAGCACAGTTCTGTAACACATAACTGACACAGCATATTGTCATTAACTCATTCTGGGTATAATATAAAAACAATTAATCAACATGGAGTACAAGATATAAAGTGTATGACGTGGATACACTGAGCAGGCTAGATACTGAACCACAGGAAGCAGAAAAGAAAAGGGGTAAAAAGACCTGCACAACAAGGTGGAGGCAGTATACAGACTCCTGCAGGACGAGGGAAGAGAAACCTCATCCATCCACTGAGGCACAGTGTGGCCAGGAGAGAGTCGAGGAGACCCCCAGTGGGAGAAGGGTGGCAGTACGGTCTATCCATCATATCCTGGAAAATATCTTTTAGCATGAAATTACCATCTGGTCCATTTTAGCACACAAAAGCGTTACCAGCCTTACTTAACAGTTTGGCTGCATGTGAGGTGAGCGCATAAATTTCTCAGCACAGCAAGAGTTTAATCTATTTGCACAGCAGGATTTGAATCACATATTGAATCAGAGAGTGAACTTTTATAGTAATTTTATATTCATTTTTTATTTTTTTTAATTTTTTAATTTCTCGTGAATTTTTGACTTATTGCTCTTACATTTTTTTGCACTATTTTATATATAAAATAATTATTGATCTATTATCAGTGAAAATATTTTTTTTGGCACATATACTTGTATTTAGTATCTATTGACCACTCAGCACGTTTGTGTATATATATGGAATTTTTATTATTATTTATACATCATTTCTTATTAATGCATTTATGGATTTAGGAATTAATAGCATTAATGATTGGTATAGGAGGAATATAAATTATATGCTGATAGCAATTTGTTTACATCACGGATAAAATAAGTTGGTGGAGTGCGACACACATTTAATATATATTCAACTTTGCAGTTTTTTGGGTATGTGTATTAGTGTTGATGCACCACTATCACAGTATTAATTAATTTAATTTTATTTATATGTAAATACCACATATTAGCTCACAAGCACCTGTTTATATTAATAATCTTTAGGAGGAATCAAAACGCCATGACGTCACGCCATCTTTGTTTTTTGGTCAGTGTTGTGTTAACTCTGCAAAACTCACTTTTATACATTTTAAATTTCCATGGAATAAGCACATTATTTTTATACTACTACACTATTGGCACCTTTTGTTTGCCTCCTATATGGAGCTATTGAATTACACAGCCTTCTTATGAGCCTGGCCCATTCAAGCAAACAGAGGAGGGAATCCCTGTAACACAGACTGCAGACCCATCCATCCTTAACCACCTCCCGCCGCCATATAGTAATATGACGGACGCAAAGTGGTTCTCTCGTTCTGGGAGGACGTCATATGACGTCCTCCCATTCTGAGCGCGCGGCGATCGGCGGTGCACTGTGTCCCTCGGACAAAGCGGATCACTGATCACGGAAAGAGCCGAAGATGTCGGCTCGGTCATTTGATCAGCTGTGTCCAATCACAGCTGATCACATGTAAACAGGGAAATGCCGGTTATCGGCATTTCTCTCCCCGCGAGCTGTCACGCTGAGGGGACATGTACACTGATCATCAGGGCACTGATGATCAGTGTGCCCTGATGATCAGTGTAGCCCCAGCAGCGCCACCTGTCAGTATCCATCAGTCCCTCGTGTCAGTGCCACATCAATGCCACATATCAGTGCCTACCAGTGCACATCAATGCCACATAGTGCCCATCTGAGCTGCCTTTCAGTGTCACCCATCAGTGCCAGTCAGTGCTGCCAATCAGTACCACTTATCAGTACCCACGCCTTTCAGTGCCCATCAGTAATGCCTGTCAATGCCCCTCAGTGCCACCTACCAGTGCATCCTCATTAGTGCCCATCAGTGCTACCTATAAGTGTCCATCAGTGCAGCTTATCAGTGCCCATCACTGCAGCCTCATTAGCGCATATCATTGAAGGAGAAAAATCACTTATTTACAAAATTTTATAACAAAAACTAAGAAAAAACTTTTTTTTTTTTTCTAAATTTTCAGTGGTTTTTGGTTTGTTTAAGAAAAAAATAAAAAACCCAGAGGTGATTAAATACCACCAAAATAAAGCTTTATCTGTCACAAAAAATGATAAAAATTTCATATGGGTACAGTGTTGCATGACCGTGCAATATGCATTCAAACTGCGACAGCGCTGAAAGCTGGAAATTGGCCTGGGCAGGAAGGGTGTATAAGTGCTCTGTAGGCTAGTGGTTAAAGGGGACCACTGGATGAACTGACAACTTACCCAGCCCAAGAAATTCTGCTGTGCTGTTTAACACCCTGAAGGAAGTTTACCACATGCCTGGCATATCCCGTTCCCTAAAGTGGACCGTGTTGGATATATTTATATGCACATATTCAGTGCGCATCTGGTGAGTGCGCATTTTTACTATATCTTCCAAGCACTTGATTATCGCTGCGGTTGGGATTCTATATCACCACTATCTATTTATGAACTTTTATGAACCTTTGAATTTTATTTGTCGTTTATGCATTTTACTGGTTTAAACTTCGTTCGAATTTAGCTCTGCACTTCTTGTTTACTATCTGACAGGTTTTTTCTGGTTACCTTAGTGCAATAGCTGCTTCATTGGTAGCGCTCACTTTATTTTACTTTATAAAGGATCAAGATAGCTGAGCTTTCTGCAGAGTCTCTTTAACTACGGAGTTCCTCCTTAATAGAAATAATATCGATGTGTTTTTACAGGACTGGCATAGTGTTAAAGCATGTGCTAATGTATTTTGAAAAAGTACAGCCAAAATGAAAATAACTTCTGTACAATAATAAATGTTAATCATTTGATTCTAGCGGAAGTGAAACGTGTTGGGGACACTTTGCTTGGCATGGCTACACAATGTGTCCAAGTAAAAAATGTGGTAAAGACTTCCCCACAAACCCTCAGCAACCTGTGCCTAAAGATCAACGTCAAACTTGGTGGGATCAACAACATCTTAGTGCCTCATCAACGGTAACTTTTTTTTACTTAACTTCAAGTTTAAAATTCATATAACAAACTAATTAAACCTTTATGGATAATTTTTGTCTTGGCTGAGGCAATTTTATTTTACACTTTTGCTCAGATTACAGAGTAACTCTTTGATTTTATCAGGAACAGAAGTAATGAGTTTCATACAGTGAAAACTGTCTATTGACCATACAGGCCTAAAATTTATTTAGTTACCAGTTATTGTAGTGTCCCTTTTCTTCTTCTTATTTCTTTTCCTCCTATACCTCTTCCTTGTTTTATTGGTCCCTGTCTATATGTGAAAGAGTTTATTTAGGCTATACCATTTTAAACGTTGCATAAAATCAATACTTCAGACTGATGGATTACAAGTTTGAGACCAGACTAAATGATTGGCAGCATGAGTTCAGAATAAATACCTTTATTTGGGTGTATGATTAATATGGTTCATTGATCTCATGTGGCTGTTTATTATGAGCCGTTTTTGAATAGATTTATAAGATTAATGCAAAACCACATATAGACATAAACCTACTAATTACGATACTCGCAGCTAAAAAAAGCAGCTGTAAAGTTTTGCTTACAAAATTCCTCTAGGTCAGTGGTTCTCAACCTGTGGGTCGCGACCCCTTTGGGGGTCAAATGACCCTTTCACAGGGGTCACCTAAGACCATCAGGAAAACACATATTTCCGATGTTTAAAGAGCAGCCGCTGTGTAGAGAGCAGTAGCCGCTGTGTAGAGAGCAGCCGCTGTGTAGAGAGCAGCCGCTGTGTAGAGAGCAGCCGCTGTGTAGAGAGCAGCCGCTGTGTAGAGAGCAGCCGCTGTGTAGAGAGCAGCCGCTGTGTAGAGCGCAGCCGCTGTGTAGAGCGCAGCCGCTGTGCTGAAAAGCAGCAGTATTGGAGGTAAAAAACACTTCATGACTTATAATTACTGGGTAAATAATTTTATGGTTGGGGGTCACCACAACATGAGGAACTGTATGAAAGGGTCGCGGCATTAGGAAGGTTGAGAACCACTGCTCTAGGTGTTCAGAGATTTCTCCACTTAGAGCAAGTAAATAAACTCCATTTGGAGCAATTAATTAATATAACAGTGACCACTGGGGCTTAACTGTGGAAGCATTTGAATAAAATCTTTGGATGTACATCTGGTGTTCTAAAACTTCATGTGGCTCAAAGACCTCACTCCTTGGTTTCTGAATTCTGTGAGTTTACCCAGCTGTGGCACAGAAAATAATAATAAAGGTATCTAATATTTTTCTCATGGCAGCTCTGCAGTCTTCCAGCAGCCGGTCATTTTTCTTGGAGCAGATGTCACACACCCGCCTGCTGGTGATGGCAAGAAGCCTTCGATTACTGCGGTGAGAAATGATCCATAATAGCTAGTGCTGATTTCACAAAGTGTTTATCATGCTATTAGTAACAATAATAGAAAGTTTTTTCATATTATCATAAAAACATATTGACTTCATTTCAGCATTCAGTTCTTAGCTGGCCTTAGACTGTAGACAGTTTGAAGTTGTAAATGTGACCTATTTCAGTTTTTAGCTGTTGGCCTCAAACAATTCCAAAGCTCCACAGGTGTGATGATTTCCTGCATATTAAAGAGCTTTTACTGCTTTTGACATACTCCAATGTAATTGATATTTAATAATCTGTACAAATGTAAATAAAAATCCCCATCACTCGGTTTTTTCTGGCAGCAAAATCAAGCAGAGTGTGTGGCTAGTTTTACAAAACCCTTATTTTGCAAGATAGATATTTTTGCAAAAGTACATCTAACCCCAGTCTCTTCTTAGGCACTGATAAAATATCTTTTAAATTATAACAGGTTGTAGGCAGCATGGATGCTCATCCGAGCAGATACTGTGCCACAGTGAGAGTACAGCGCCCTCGACAAGAGATCATTGAAGACCTGTCATATATGGTGCGGGAGCTTCTCATCCAGTTCTATAAATCTACTCGGTTCAAACCAACCAGAATCATATTCTATCGAGATGGCGTTCCAGAAGGTCAACTTCCACAGGTAAATATCTAGTTTGATTGTGTTTTTGTTTGGTCTCTAGGCAGCGTGAAATGACAGGTAGTTATGTCTTCCTCAGATATTGCACTATGAGCTGCTGGCTATTCGAGATGCATGTATTAAATTAGAGAAAGACTACCAGCCAGGCATCACCTACATAGTAGTGCAGAAACGCCACCACACACGTCTGTTTTGTGCAGATCGCAGTGAACGGGTAAGTGATGTCTTGCTTATATGTTACTGGTACATGTTTACTTTGGTACTTTTGTTCTGGCCCAGAAATGTTGCTGATGCAGTTATTGAAAACAGCCTGGTGACTGATCTATTGTTCTGTAAACAGTATGTTCTTGATTCAGGTCTAAAGTTTTAGTCTTTATTATTAGTATTTATCTCTTTCATGACTAGGACATTTTGAAACTTAAATACCCGGACCAAATTTAGCTGCATCAGTAGGCATTGGTTAATGTAACTAGAAGTCTATAACTAATTGTCTACCTAAATAATTTTATGGACTTTCATTTTTATTAAAGACTAAAAGATTAATAAAATGTTTTTTAAAATGCATTTTACACTCAACAGATTTTTTTAAATACATTTTTTAAATGATTATATCGGGGCTTGAAATTTCCACTCGCCTGCTCGCCAGTGGCGAGTGGAAATTATGGTGGGGGCGAGAGCGTGTCCCCCAGGGCCGTCTTGCTGAGCAGGCTTGGAGCTCAGGCCGGATCTGTCATTGGCGCTGGGAGCCGTCAGACTGCTCAATACCTGAGCGCAGTGAAAGCAAAGGAAGGAGTGTGTGCTGTGCTCCTTGCCTTCCCCTAGAGTGCAGTACCCGGCTCTGTGAGTGAACAACGAAGTACTGCAACTTTTTATGGGGGTGTACATGTGTGTATCTGTACATGTGTCTGCGTGTATGTATGTGTGTCTGTGTCTGTGTGTGTGTGCATGTACGTGTGTGTCTGTATGTATGTACATGTGTCTGTGCGTGTCTATTTCTGTGTATGTACATGTATCTGTGTGTATGCATGTCTGTACGTGCCTGTGTGCGTGTGTGTACATGTGTCTCTGTGCGTGTGTGTACATGTTTCTGTGTGTGTGTGTGTGTGTGTACACAGGTGTCTCTGTTTGTGTTTGTTGGTGGCAAGTAACTTAAGGCCTGGCTAGTAGCTCAGGACTTGAAATTTTAAGCCTTGAATATATTACACTGTATTAGCAGCAGCCGGATTCTCCAGCTGGCACTGTGCCACTGTGACAGTTAACAGCTGAAAACATTGGCTTCCATGGTGATGACAAAATCATGAACAAACTAGCTGTAGGCTCCTAGTTCAAAAGTAGTGCGTAAATTAAAATTGCATGTTGAGGAATATTGCCTGTGGGAAGTAGTTAAATTACATCACTTAGAATTAAAAGTAATAGTCCTCTATTAACCATTTCAATACTGGGAACTTTCACCCGCTTCCAGCTCAGGCCAATTTTCAGCTTTCAGTGCTGTTGCACTATGTATGACAATTGCACAGTCATGCAACACTATCAATATGAAATTTGTATCAGGGGACAGGATAGAGCTTTTTTTTATATTTAACCACTTCAGCCCCAAGCCATTTTTGGGAACTATTTGTTTATATTTTAAAATCAGTATTTTTTGCTAGAAAATGTCTTAACCCCCAAACATTATATATATTTTTTTTTAGTAGAGGCCCTAGAAAATAAATTGGTGGTTTTTGCATTTTTTATGTCACACGGCATTTGCGCAGTGGTTTTTCAAATGCAATTTTAGGGAAAAATACACTTTTTTTAAAAAAAAAATTTTATTTAAAAAAGACCACAATACATAACTAATTTTTTTGTAAAATATAAAAGACGATGTTACGCCGAGTAAATATGAAACATGTCACACTTTAAAATTGCACCTGCCCATGCAAAGGTGACAAAAAACATAAATTATACTAAAAGCCTTTACAGGTTCCCACTTGAGATGTTTAGTCACTTCTCTTGCTGTCTCAGGGAATGTAAACATCTCCTGTGACAGCAACAGACACTTGACAGGTATTTTTTATGGAGGTATCTGAGGACCCTAAATCCCTCCTCTTCACGTGAGAGCATTCAAAACACCAAGATCTGTAGTTTTGAATGCTTTCAGATTTTTAAAAATGGCCTGAAAGTTTCAAAGTAAACTGGAAGTGATGTCAGGTCATTGCTTCCGGTTTACTGCTAAGAAGAGCTGATGAAAGCCGATTCTGCCTCTGCTTGGCTGTCTGGCCAGTAGCTGGATATGTCTCCTGGTTGCTTGGGACTCCCAGTGTGATGGGAGATACCGAGAGGGCCGCAGGAGGGGGGGATTGCTTGTACAAGCAATCAAGTGGCTAGTCAGCAGCTCCAATTGCTTGTACAAAATAGCTGACTGGCTCTAAAAAAAAAAAATGGTACTGGAATGATGCCTGCAGCTGCAGGCTTCACTCCAGTATAACCACCGAAAGTCAAGCAACGTACAGGTATGTTGCTGGTCCGGATTTGGTTACTCACCACTGAGTTTTTTTATTTTTTTGCTAAAGAAATGAAAAGAGAACGAAAATTTTGAAAAAATTTTAAAGTTTTTCTTAGTTACTTGCAAATAAGTAATGTTTCTTCACTGATGTGCGCTGATGAGGCTGCACTGATGGGCGCTGATGAGGCTGCACTGATGGGCACTGATGGGGCTGCATGATGATGATCAGTGCCCTGATTACCAGTGTAAACCATGTACTGACAGTCTTGCTGGTCATTGGCTTTCCTTTCCTTACACAGACACAGCATGTGAAAAAACTATAACCGGCAAGTCTGTTTACATGTGATTAGCCCCTTACCACGATCTGTGATCAGCTGTGTTCAGAAGGAACCCCGTCCCTGGGGGCACACAGAGGGTGGGGTTCAGGGAGGACATCAATGGATGACCTCCCAGAACTAGACAACCACTCTGTAGCAGTCTTTTGGCTATAGCGTGGTTGCCAAGCAGTTGAAATGATACTTATAATTTACAATGAGTTTTATATAAAAAGAATGTATGGTTACATTTAAAATGTATTCAGAAGGGAATGTATTTTAAAAGAAGTTTGGGATTATTTCCATATATTTTGTTTAATGTACTGTATTGTGTTCTGCAGTTAAATTTTTTGTTTTATGCATTTTTAGACGGAGACACACGTGTGGGCTAGATCCCAAGCTGCACTATGTGTGTCTTTTGACACACACAATATGGCTCAGCCCCGCCCCCTCCTCACAGGATTTGATTAACAGCAGCAGGAGCCAATGGCTCTTACTGCTGCCACCATGTCTAGTAAAGACAGCGCTGGATCAAGATTAGGCTCAAGTGAACATTTGTGGGGAGCTGACATCAAATGTTTTTGACCTTAAAGTGGTTGTAAACCTCAGACATGAAATATGAACAAAGCATATTCCTCTATAGTATGTATTTGTCTGAGGTGTCATTTTTGTCTGCTGCTTCTTTCCTCTGCTATCAGCATGAATTGCTTTTGACTAGTTTTCCTAACACCAAGAGAAAAAAAGGTGACGGGAGGAATTTTCAGCACACTGTGTGTGATTGACATCCTCAACTCTGTTCCTGTGTGCTGTGTGAAGGAGTATGTGCCATCCCTCCAATCAGCTCTCTGAGCTCTGCAGTGTGTAACTTTAGCTCTTTGTCCCCTGTTTTCTGAAAGCTCAGACAAGCTTTATAAACTCTGGACTTTTGAATGGATGTAGAGAAGAGAGGACTACAGATAAAAAGGTACAACTTTGGCAGCAGGATTTGTTTCATCCTTTCACTGGGTATATGTAGGGTTTACAACCACTTTAATGCACAGAATGGATTAAGCTAAAAAAAAAAAAACCTTTAGTCTTTACAACCACTTAAGTATGAAATATTGCATATAAAAGCGTTATACTGTTTTCTTCTGTAGCCAGTAGGTGGTGAGTTTGATCTTAATGCTCTGTGGCTGTAGAAAGATTTTGTTACTGCTGTGCTGGGAACAGAACTAAACAAAAAAATCTGACGTTACACAAATACACCTGAGTGAGTCAGAGAGACATACCCCTCCTGCTCTCCTGTAAAGATTTCTTTATTAAATCTTCAGTCTGTCAGAATACGACGTAGTGGGGAGATTCCCCCATCCACCTCAAATGTGTGGATGGGGAAACCGGGTCTTTTTTTGTTTGACCTGCTAGTTGAACCAAAAAAACAAAACGGAATCATCTGTGGACTGCCTAAATAGGTCTAAAAACAGGAGCATTTAAACGCAGGAAAAAAATTATCTTGGAAAAGCATAAAAGTTGTTAATGTGTCTCAGATGCCAGTGTAAATGAGGCCTCAATAGAAGGACAAAACTTTGTTTTAGTTTTGTCTAGAATAAGGAAGGGTTTAACCCTCTGCCAAGTTTTTATTGTCATCGTTGTTCTTTCTAGGGAGAAGCTTCATCATTTGTCACCAAGACAGAATATGAGGGTAAATCCTACATTTTAGGGTTGTCATGAGAGCAAGAGGTGAGGGGAAACCTTCCAGTGCTTTCAAATGTTCTAGTGACAACTGTTTAAGATGATTGAGGAGATTTTCTATCATTTCCTTTTGCATTTCCAGGTTGAAAAAATAACCTGATAGGGGATTTAACCCTTCCCTACTCTATCTAAATCTAAAAAAGGTTGAGCTATTCATTCTGTCTGTCTAACTTCCTTTATGCTAAAATGACAGCTTACGTAAAACAGTTGCACACCAAAGTAACATAACTATCATACCTTATTTTTGTGCAATCAGAATTTTGGTTATTCTTCCTCGGTATTTCACATAATTCAATACTTTTCAGTTGATAATGCTATTTTACTACTTTAAACAGTATGTGTTCTTTCTTACATTTTTTTATTTTATTTGTTTTTTCATTTTTGCACATACAGATTGGAAAAAGTGGAAACATTCCAGCAGGAACAACTGTTGACACCAATATCACACATCCGTTTGAATTTGATTTTTATCTCTGTAGTCATGCAGGTATCCAGGTAATGTATATCAGGTGCCCTTTGAGGGCAGGAAAATGATTTTGAGATTTAGTTGGCTGACACACTCAAGGGTACAGCTGGCTGAAAAACTATGGTTTCAGCTACCAAGGACATTTAGTTGCTTTTCTCTATACTATATTGCTGATACTATTTTATCTTCTGTAGGGCACCAGCCGTCCATCCCACTACTATGTTCTTTGGGATGATAACCGGTTCACAGCTGATGAACTTCAGATTCTCACCTACCAGTTATGTCACACATATGTTCGTTGCACACGGTCTGTTTCTATACCTGCACCTGCATACTATGCTCGACTTGTGGCTTTCAGAGCACGGTACCACCTGGTTGATAAGGAACATGACAGGTAAGTAGACCTCTTTAGGTTTTACCCATTGAGGTTGAGTAAATATTGATCTGTTTCTGTTATGGTGGAGGTTGATGGTTGTTTACATCTTTTCTAGCGGGGAAGGCAGTCACATTTCTGGACAAAGCAATGGGAGGGATCCACAGGCCTTAGCTAAGGCTGTGCAAGTTCATCAAGACACATTACGCACCATGTATTTTGCATGATGACCAATTGCAAACCTTTTCTGGCGGACTTTTTTGATGTATGACATGTTTGCCCAATATCGTACCTCATTGGCTCAGAGTAGTTTTCAGAGATTCTGAGCCTTACCCACAAAGGGTACCTCACAACAAACTGACACGCCCAATGACATCCCACAGGACCAACTTGGAATCACTTCAGACGATGATACTTTTGTTTTTTGCATGTTGTGGGAATGTAAGCGAGCACCTTTTTTAGCAGGTCTCCTTTGGTTGCCACGGCAAAATCCTCGATGACTTGAAATGCAATACTGCAAGCAGATAAACTGAAAAGCTGAGCCCAACGCTCCAGTGGAGAAGGATGAATGTGCATAGCAACAATTTTGTGATGAAAGATCATATAAAACCAGACAGCTTTGAGCCTTAAACAAAAGCTAAATCGGTTGTGTTCCCATTTAACTAAAGAAGACTTGATGAGATTACTCGTGAGCATACACGATGAGATTACACGTGAGGATGCTCCCAAACCATGTGTTTCACAAAACCAGCACAATAATGCCACTTCAAGAACATAGCAGTGGTCGGCTAATTAGTGGTCAACAGTGGTTCTGTTCTTGTGATTTGATAAATTGGAATGCCATGGGGATGAAATGTCCATAAGTCAAGACATCAAATATACACCATATTCATGTAGGGGGGCTTTCATGCTACACAGCATGATAAAACAAGCCAAATGTACTGAATGCTCACTACGTCATGTTTCCCCTGAAATCCGTTCGTGCCATATGGTCTTCTTACACTGAGGCAAAACGGAGCTGGGTTTATTCTAAGCAATAGGGTGGTGTTATTCAATGATGACCTGACTCCTGCGTGCCTTCCTGTCTCAAACAAGTTGTTTGCCACATATACAAATGCACTTGATACATTTTAAAACTGTAATATCATTGGTCCAAGGTGGTAAAAGTTACAGAAAATTGTGCAAAGTGCCTTGAACCCTTTAAGTGCTAGAAATGAGGTTATTGTTTCTGCTCCTTCGGCTTAGCAGATGTTACGTAGCAGCACTAGAAGCACCAGCTCATTGTGAACAAACATACTGGAGGTGCATCCATCAGTCTTTGCACAATTACTGCAAGGTGTTGTTTTCTAGGTTTAGTGGCTGTCAGTGCTGCTCACATTTTGCTTTAGCTGTCTAAACTAGAGGATCCCATGATCCCAGAGCCAGCTTTACTTGGATTCAGGATTTTCATTTATCATTTTGTTTGGTAAATGCATATTGAGATATTACAGAAATGTGCAGTGTCACTGAAGCAGAGGCTGCTAACATACAAATATTTTAAGGAAAATATTAGCAGGATCTCAGATTTTTCAAAGTAGCAGGTACAGTATGAAGAGGAACCTTTACAGCCAAAGTATGGAATGTGGGATGAGAATCTATGCGCCATACATTATAATGCCAGAAACTCTGAAGATAAAATGGAAGAGGGCAATAACTTGAATCCTTTTCTCTCTTGGTAATGGCCCATTACTAGAATTGGTTGCCAATTGTGATTACAGGCAGTGGTTTCTGTAAAGTTAAAGGCCATGCTGATAAAGAGAAATGTCCTGCAGAAGCTGATATTCGAGAATGACCCAGTACTTACCTGAAATGAATAGTTCTCCAGATTCACTCATTGCATCTATTCTTTAGCTCATAATGCAAAATGCAGTATGCCGAAAACAAAACCACATGAGGTTACTTTGTGATCAGTTTATTAAGGAAATAGCTTTATGCTCCAATGGTTATATTTTTTTCTATACAGTCATCTTTCTTTACAATGTTCTCAAGAAAATAAAATGGCTTTAAGCCCCAATAGCAAGCCAGAGTGCACACTTGTGCCTGGTGTAGCCTTCTCTCTAGTACCTAGAGCAGTATTGAGGACGTTGACCTGGGACACAGACCAGGAAATATAGACTGAGTAAGAGAAAGCAGAGATCGCCTTACTAATTTAAATTACAAATTTGGAAATCAGATGACAGAGTGTCATTTTGGTATAAAATATAACAAACAGGGAAATTTAGTTTGGTCAAAAATAATAATACCTTTATTTACTTTAGCAGTGAAAGTAGTCAAGTTAACTATTTATGTGCAATAAAGACAAATAGTAGATTGTCTTTGATCATATTATGTTAAATGTTTTTACCCAAGTTTCCCTTCCTTTTCTAACAATATAGACCAACACGTTATAGAAACCCTGTAGCTGACTCTTCAGATTGTTAAAGTAGAATTCTAGCTGTAGCTTTTTAGGTTTAAAGTGAATTTAAAGCCAGTTTTTGGATAGAGTAGAAAATGGTTAAGACTGTCAGGGTTTGTTTTGTTTTTTGTTTTTTTTTCCTGTATCTCATGAAGGAAATTTAGGAATTAATCTTGCCCCAGGAATTTAAAGGAAAGTGCAAGAAAATCTCAACAAAACAAGGGAAATCCCAATTTATTTGTCAAAGCAGCAGGCATCCTCTATGGAAGATTTCCTCCACTACCTGTTTATATTTCCAATGACTTTCTGTACTGTAGTCAGTATCCACCAGAACAAATATGGTGAATCTTCTCTGCAGGTACATGGACAGCAATATATATCTAACAGGGGTTTTAACACTTCCCCACTGAAAAAAAGTTAAAAAAGAGAGTGTTGGCTGTACATATACCTTAAGTTTTGTATAGAATCACCGAGAGTAGAAGAAAGCAAGAATCCATTTCCCAGACTGATAAAAATGTATTTATTTATTTTCTGTGTCCCCACCTGAGAGATCTCTCTTCTTTTCTTTGACAGTGAAAGACAGAGAAGGGAAATCCTCCCCAAAGGGAGGCAGCAACAAAACCTGAGTTCAAACCTTTCCCCTCTCAATCCCAAAAAAGTTTTGGCTAGGAGTTGGACTTTGTTAGAGAAAATCTAACTTTGTTTCTTTTTTTGGATTAGGCATAACGTAGTAAAGAAAGTAAATGCATATTGTCCATATGTTGAAATTACAGCATCGCTTACTTGTGTTTAGCACAAATTTTGGTAAGTGTCTTTGTTATCAGTTAAAGTATATGTAAACCTTAAAAGTGAACTATTATTTTGACCGTTTTGGTCTGTTAAATATACCATTGAAAACATTTTGTTATGTCTGTTCGATAAGTGCAAAAAACACCTGTTGGTCCTGTTGGAAATATTGTAAGCTGATAACCTCCTGTGCTTGCTACATGTGCTGCACTGATATCAATTGCATTGTTACTAGTTATCTCTTTGAAGACTATACAGCCCCTCCCCTTTAAGTTAAGGAGAGGTTGGAGGTTATTATGGTCCTGACCTAGGGTGACAGCACTGTTTTCTCATAGATACAGTATGGTGTGTGAGCGTTGTCACTCTAGGACAGGATGTGTGTTACTGGCAGGATTACCATGTAAAAATAAAGAAAAAGGACTAATAAATAAAAAAAAAAAACTCATGCAACCACCATCCCTAAGGACTGCTAAGCTGTAGTATATTTGTTGCTCTTGGGTTTAGATATGCTGTAACTGGACAAAAAAAGCAAGTAGAATATGAAGGGGAAAGGGTTTGGAAGCTTAATAAACTAGATAAAAAATATAATTTATCCTTCCAGTGCATCCAGAAAGTATTCACAGAGCTTAACTTTTGCCACATTTTGTTATGTTACAGCCTTATTCCAAAATGGATTAAACTCATTATTTTCCTCAACATTCTACAAACAATACCCCATAATGACAACATGAAAGAAGTTAGTTTTGAAATCTTTGCAATTTATTAAAAATAAAAAATGAAAAAAAAAAATCACATGTACATAAGTATTCACAGCCTTTGCTCAATACTTTGTTGAAGCACCTTTAGCACCAATACAGCCTCAAGTCGTTTTGAGTATGATGCTACAAGCTTGGCACACCTATTTTTGGGCAACTTCTCCCATTCTTCTTTGCAGTACCTCTCAAGCTCCATCAGGTTGGATGGGGGAGCGTCGGTGCACAGCCATTTTCAGATCTCTCCAGAGATGTTCAATCGGATTCAAGTCTGGGCTCTGGCTGGGCCACTCCAGGACATTCACAGAGTTGACCCGTAGCCACTCCTTTGTTACGTGGGCTATGTGCTTAGGGTCGTTGTCCTGTTGAAAGATGAACCATCACCCCACTCTAAGGTCCAGAGCACTCTGGAACAGGTTTTCATCAAGGATGTCTCTGTACCTTGCTGCATTCATCTTTCCTTTGATCCTGACTAGTCTCCCAGTTCCTTCCACTGAAAAACATCCCCACAGCTTGATGCTACCACCACCATGCTTCACTGTAGGGATGGTATTAGCCAGGTGCTGAGCAGTGCCTGGTTTCCTGCAGACATGACCCTTGGCATTCAGGCCAAAGAGTTCAATCTTTGTTTCATCAGACCAGAGCGTTTTTTTTCTCATGGTCTGAGAATCCCTCAGGTGCCTTATGGCAAACTCCAGGCGGGCTGCCATTCGCCTTTTACTGAGGAGTGGCTTCTGTCTGGCCACTCTACCATACAGGCCTGATTGGTGGAGTGCTGCAGAGATGGTTGTTCTTCTGGAAGGTTCTCCTCTTTCCACAGAGAAACGCTGGAGCTCTTTCAGAGGGACCATCGGGTGCCTGGATACCTCCCTGGTTTAGGCCCTTCTCCCTCGATCGCTCATTTTGGCCGGGCGGCCTGCTCTAGCAAGATTCCTAGTGGTTCCAAACTTCTTCCATTTACGGATGATGGAGGCCACTGTGCTCAATGGGACCTTCAATGCTGCAGAAATTTTTCTGTACCCTTCCCCAGATATGTGCCTTGATACAATCCTGTCTTGGAGGTCTACGGACAGTTCCTTGGGCTTCATGGCTTGGTTTGTGCTCTGACATGCACTGTTAACTGTGGGAACTTGTATAGATAGCTTTATGCCTTTCCTAATCATGTCCAATCAACTGAATTTCCCACAGGTGGACTCCAATCAAGTTGTCAAGTTGTGGAAACATCTCAAGGATGATCAGTGGGAACAGGATTCAC